TATATGACAGCAGTCTGTAAATAATAGAGTCTGGACCAGATAATCCAGTGATTGATATCATGAGCATCGATCCACGCCATTGGGATACGATGAGACACATAAACCAAGTCAGCGAGCCTGACCACCCGATCCCGTTAGCCGCCTCTTACGACAAGTATAGTCGCTTTTTACGGCAAGCATAGTCGTTTTTTCTGTAAAAAAAGTGGCATAACACGTTCCATATTCACAAGAAACCTCTGCTAAAAGCAGAGTCGATTGTACGATTCAGACCATAGCATGTGCATGTGTTTATACATGGCTGTCAAATAGTAATATGATACCAGTTCTTCACAAAAATGTGAGCGGATCCTGCCCTATCCGTGGCACTCGTCACAACACATGCAGAGGAACGTACCTATGGTACAAATCAAAATCTTCGTGAAGATTCCGGGGTAGAACAGGTCTTCAGCAACCCATGCTTGCCGTAAAAGGTGACTAGGCTTGTCGTAAAAGGCGACTAACGGGATCGGGTGGTCAGGCTCGCTGACTTGGTTGATGCATGTCATCGATTCCAATTGCGTGGATCGATGCTCATGATATTAATCAATGGATTGTCTGGTCCAGACTCGATTATTTGCAGACCGCCCCGATATAGCTGGAATATTGCTGGGTGCGGCGTTAAACCACAAACCAACAACAACCAAACCAATCATTTTTGTCACTGATACCTCAAAGTTGGAAATGCGCTCCACATGTCTGCCAAAAGACTTTTACAGTTTTAGTGAGGCCTTGAATGGTGTAACCTTTATCAGACAACCTCTCAGCAAGAGTTGTATGACGTCCTTTGAAATCTTCATGGAAAGAGCATGCTTGATTGTACCTCAAAAGTCGTGCAATGTAAACATCAAAGGCTGGACCTAAACTGAAGTTTATTGGCTATTTGATGGTTATTAAACGATATTAGATCAGGTCGTTTTCAATATTGTTACATGACCACCGTAGTATAAGTGTTGGCAATGTTCTCCCTTGTGGATGACACTGCAACCATGACGACGGTGAGGTGAGATGGAGTTTAACATCGCGTTCAAGATTATTGCACCTATATAGCGATGTGCATGCATGTGTATGCGTGGCTGCCTGTACCAGTCCGGACTGATGCCGATTTTTAGTGCTAGCACACTGAGATACCATGCCGCACTTGACTCCAGCTCGAGCCAACCACTGCTTGTTTTAGCCCCTTAATGCCGAGCGTCAGACAGGTTACAACAAGTACCATCTTTTAACGTCTTTTGGTATGACGCGGTCGGGGACCGAGCCCCTGACCTTCCGCCCTCCGGGCGGACGCTCTACCACTAGACCACGGAAGCGGCCCCATAACAATGGAGTAACGTAGATATTAGGTGGAATGGCCTTGGCTGCTATATCTCGGTCAGTGAGACCCGATACCATGCCATACATAGATTCCTGGCTATAGTTAGGCTCGTCGCAGATGACAAGACAAATAGCCTGTAGATAACAGCGGAATGCTTCGAGCCTCATGGTTTATGCTCCCTGCAGTGTTTTATTGTACGACAAACAACTCCCACTCGTCGTTTATTTCTTAATTATGACATAATCTCTATCATGAGACGAATGTTGTATATTTGAAGCTTTTGTCCTTTCGCCGTGAGGATTCCTAGTTTGAATCCCCGGCGACCTAGGCTTGTCGTAAAAGGCGACTGAGTGAATGAATCTCATTGAAATCAGATCTTAGTGCTCGCTACCGTGTTTAGCTGTAGAGACAACTACTTAATGGATCTGGTAGTCAGGCTCGGTAACTTGGTTGATTGAATGGCATCCTATCCCGACAGCGTGGAAATTTGTTCATATGATATAAATCACTGGTTTGTTTGATCCGGACTCGAGTACGTACAGTGCGCCGTCATATAGCTGGAACATTGCTGAGTGCGATGTTGTAAACACCCAAAGAAACAAAAACCTCTCCTCATATATTTACCATATTTTGGCTGGTGTTGCACACCGCTATAGTGAGCAATATTAAAGCTACATCAGAAAATAATTGTCTGAACCAGTGGTGGACAGCATGAGCAACGATCCTCGCCATTAAGGTACAATGGTAATACTCTCAGGAGATCTGTTACGACGTAAAGTGTAATTAACCGCGTTTTTACAATTTACGTCGTAACAAGATCTCCCTGAAGATCCGGGATGGAAGAGATCCACACGACACTTGTCGTAAGAGGCGACTAACTGGATCGAGTGGTCTGGCCTTCCGACTTAGTTGATGCATGTCATCGTATCCAAATGTGCCTAGATCGATATTCATGACGTTACTCCAGACTCGATTGTTTTGAGGCCGCCGTCTAAAAGCTGGAAAATTGGTGATTGCGGTGTTAAACAACAAACAAACAAAATAAACTTCAAACAGAATTCAAATCCTGACCCAAATCCATGTCCTGGAAATGTCGTGAGCACTGACAGATCAGGTGCCTAACAAAAATCGTGACATAGATAACACTGGGGGTCTATACTCAGCTGTCACATCTACTGCTAATCAAACATAAAGTATGTTTTTTGTCGATTTTGGACAGTAAGCGTTCCAAATACAACGGAAGAATCCATTTCCTTTGAACAGGGAACTGCGTGTGGAGTGTAACGCAATGCACGTGGATTTCATGTAGCACGTCTTTATAGATTCGTCACCTTACACCCATGCTGATGTTATGGAATGCACGAATTGTACAGATCCGTGGGTCACAAATTATCAGATCATGCTTTTATTTATGTTCGTTAAGCAGTGTGGCCAGGAACCAATTTTACCAGAGAAGTTTTATACTCATTTACTGGTTGGAATAAATTCTCAGCGGAATTGGTCGTTTACTCAAGCAATAAGAGAAATCCATAAGAAGAGAACAGTTTACGACTCTTCTCGTTTCACTAAAATGAGGGCAAATATTTTCGGTCACTAAAATATATCCTCACGCGCAAAAGAAACGCAAGTCGAGTATGCAGTATACATGTTATTTATTTTCAGCAGTAAAGACAAGAAATACTAATAGGGCCAATTTGGGTCAATACCCAAAATGTCAGTCAATACCTGGTGTGACCACCATTACCATTGATCACTGCCACACATCTCCTGTACATTGAGTGGATCAGACGATTTGTGAAGGCCCTAGGGATCATCCTGCACACATCCAGAACAGCTGTGCGTAGTTCATCGGCAGTTGTAGGGACTGGGCTCACATTGTGCAAACGCCTTTGAACCTCATCCCACAAGTGTTCGATGGGGTTCAGATCAGGGCTGAGGGCTGGCTACGGTAGAACACGGATGGTGTGTTGTTGCAGAAAGGCCATGGTAGCTCTGGCAACGTGGGGACGAGCGTTGTCCTGCTGGAAAATGTGTTGTTGATGTGGTACAAAAAATGGAACAACATGGGGTCTTATCACTTGGTCGATATATCGCTGAGCAGTGACGCCGTGTCCCCGACCTTGACCAACATTCAGAAAGCACATGGGTCCAAGTCTCGCATTAAGTTCAATCCCTGCCCATATCATGACGCTAGGTCCACCCCATGGATCCTTTTCCACAATGTTTCTGTCAGCGAAACGATCACCTCGACGCCGCCAAACTCTAACTCTTCCGTCTGCATGGGAGACACAAAAGCGACTTTCATCAGAAAAGATGACACGCCTCCACTCACGATGACGCCAATTGCGATGACCCTTTGCCCACTGAAGTCGTGCTTGTCGATGCCGTGGTTGGAGAACAGGACGACGTGCTGGTCGGCGACATCTGAGGTTGTTGGAACGGAGACGTCGGATCACAGTGTCCCGGCTAATGTGTCGATTATGTGTTCCTATGGTCTGTCAAGAACTTTCACTTGCAGTTAGGAACGGATGTCGCTGGTGTTGACGGGTAATCTGCCGATCCTGTCGAGGTGTGGTGACCCTAGGACGACCGCTCCGAGAAAGGTCATCTGTGGTCTGTGTAGCATTGTATCGATGCAGGAGACGGTAAATTGTGGTTATGTTAACGTTGAAAAGACGGGCAACATCTTGGACAGACTCTCCTGCTTCCAAACGTCCGATAGCCTGGTTTCTCTGAATTTGAGTTAGGCGTGGCATTGTTGACCAAGGAGTGGTAGGTCCAAGAATGGGCCACAGTTTATACCAACTACAGTTCGTGACAGTTCGTGCATTTTCGATTTCGCGAGAAATGGGTGCATGATACCCACATATTCATTGAAATGGCGCGTTTTGGCGATTCGTCTTTTATGTTGCGTGTTTACTCGGGGCTTCCAAAATACAACCCAAAATATTGATAACACCATGAGGCTTCACTATACATGCTAAAAATCGTATCAATTTATGGTTCCGTGTTGTTACCTATTTGCTTAAAACCACTTGCGTTTCTTTAGCGTGTGAGTATAGATATTGGCCTGAACATTTTTCTGGGATGATTACCATTATAAAAATCATCGTAAGATAATAAACATTTTTACGAAATGATCATGAATCGCACCTATGGTTAAAATGTTCCCATTGCAATGTCATCTTGTGCACGGGTGCTAAATGAGGTGAAGCTGTATTTTTCTAAGTTTTTCTTCCGGATTGCATTGCTCAATGTTGCATTTTACAAGCGCTTCAATACATTACATACACCTAAGCTTCAGCAGGTGAGTCTGGTGGATCATTGACATAACATCGTAGCAGCTTGTTCTGTCTAAGTGGTCAGTGGTTGTTCTTGGTTTTCTGTGCAAGTGGGGGTTCGCCTTCGCATGTTTTCCTTTTCCCGAAAAGAGTGTACATATTACCCAGAGAGATCTAGAATCGAATTCGTGAATATATTAAATCATATTTTTCACGAATAATGTACAATGTTTCGAGCAATCTGTTTTAAAACTAATGTCAAATTTAAGATCCTAAAGCTCTGGGTTCTTTCGGGTAAGATCTTTTGGGTATCACTCCTAGATCCGGCGACCATCGAAGCTCTCTTGTGCAGTAGGGTGAAATAATAATTTAGAGTTACCTCCCTTGCTTTGTTTGAGTTTTGCTCTCGCTGTCACGATCACACGTGAGACTGTTTCAGGGAGATAAGGAATTTGACCTCGATCAAATCGATGCTCCGACACACCATGGCGCGGGTGTTGGTTGCAGGCACAGGCATCACAGGAGCGGCAACCGCGGCTGCGTTGCGTCAGGAACTACCTGAGGACGCGACGATCACATTGTGGGACAAGTCTCATGGGGCAGGTTAGCAGCAGCACGGTTCCTCCCTAATGAACAAGGCATGATAATTATGATCATTATCCAGAACGTAGGATAATGATGTGATGTAATTGGTAGACGTGATCGAATCTCGTTACTGGCAGGTGCTTGTGTAAGCAAGGATTCTATCCTACCTAAATATTATCCCAGGAGAAGTTTTACTCTAGAGTAGGCCTATAGTAGATCTATAGGATAGGATAAAAGACACTGGTATGGGTTCAAATTCCCTAGGGAGAATCATCCTGACACGAGAGAATTTCATCACCGGGATAAAAAAAAAATAGGGTAGGAGAATATTCACTCTTATATTGCACCCACACTCCGTGAATAAACTCGTTGACAGTACACCTGGGCATTGAGTCCTGCAATCATTTAACACGAGGGACATGCATGTTTGAAACTGATTTTACCATACCTAATCAGGTGATCAGATATAGTTTTAAACCAACAGTTGCAGCACTGTCATGGATTTCGGATCACCTGGTATTCTGTTGTTTGAAGCGTGTCCTTTTTATTATATTTCATAACTATAATTTAACAACTGGTTTTTTTTCTGTATAATATATTGATTTCAGAGACTAGATATTAGTCTAATGTATTCCCAATAACATGTTGCTAGTTACTGTGAGATTTAAATGACACAATCTTTTCCCTACTTTATGTATACATGTGTCCTTGTGGCAGCCAATATGGTGCCATGACAGTCCTGATGAATATGCAATTCATGCTCTCTGTCATCTTCCCGAGGCAAGGGAGTTAACTGACTATGAAAGTCCAGTTTCCACCCTTGCCGAACAAGGCTGGTGTTATTTAGTTTGATTTTGGCTGGACTAACGAGTCTATGCATAGTCCAATCAAAATCGCGAACTGAAATCGAAATCCAGTTCGTAAACTGTCATGCAGAGTTCGGTCGATTGCAGGATTTGCAAAGCATGTGCAACGTCAACTCGTTGTCAACAGATATTTTCCAAATCTTTTCAAGTTTTTAATCAAGGTGCTCACATGATTTGATGCACTTCATGATGTAAGACCCGTTTTATCATAATATAGATCTCAATTGTCGATCAGATCGTCTTATCTTGGCGCCGCCATTTTGTTTGAAACAAATGCAAGTGACACGAGAGGTGGAATCTGATTGGTCAATAGGAGATGCATAGAAGGGACATAACTCGTAACAGCCACTGGTGGCGCTACAATCGAGCCCAGGAATTCCAGCCTAGTTCAGCAAGGGTGGAACCAAGGGTCAGTTAACTCTCTTGCCTTGGGAAGATGGCTCTCTGTATAGCCAGTTAGTCATGTATTACCGTATTCGACGTAATAACCGCCCCGCTCTAATAAGCGCCCATGGCGATATTTGCTAATATATTGGCTAGTGAACAATCCCAATTAGCACCCCTTCCGATTGATCAGTGTACACAAGACATACTTATTCGTGTATAATATGTGTGTTATATGCATCCTTAATCATGGGAAATTAAATTCTGGAAAAAATATATCTGTCTTATATAAACATTTCAGGCTGTCAGCATCAACCATGAAACTTACGATCTTTCAACTCTGTTGTTTTTCACCAAAATAACATTCTAATAAGAGCCCCCTATTTCTAATTTTGAGAGCGCCATGGGCGCTTATTATGTCAAATACGGTAATGTGGAATTAAGGAAAATGCTTTGTGGATGTCTGTTGTGTAAAGACTTCTTTTGATTATGCTCCTTTTCTATTTGTATGACCTTTCTATCAGAAAAGAAAAAAGCTCAGGTGAGCTGCAGAGCTTTGTGGCTCTAATTTTGGAATCTGTTTTTAAATTGATTTCTGTTCTGTAGGATCTCCTCATACTTTTGTCTATCTAATAACAATTTTGCTGAGGCCAAAACCAAGTGAAAAGGTTTAGGACAACAGAAACACACAGAAATCAGTTTGGGGGCCCGAGCCAATATGGCTGTTTGATTACCTATGTACAGGGATACACATGTAGCAGGGCATGGAGTCATCCCACAGATGACATCCTTACCTTGTCAGCTTGCTGACGGGGTTAACCTCTTTGGTCATGTGGACAAGGCGTCCAACCTCGGATCAAAAGGTCCGTGGTTGGAATCCGAACTCGGGACTCGGAAATTTTATGGCCGCTACATTGGTGCCCAACAAGGGGCTGAGCACGTTGATATTAAATTTGAGCAAAGTAAGCCTCACTACCCAACTATGCGGCCCGGGACGTGCCTTCTGTTGACAGGGGAGTATGTAGCAGGGTGTGGAGTCATCCCACAGATGACATCCTTACCTTGTCAGCTTGCTGACGGGCTTAACATCTTTGGTCATGTGGACAAGGCGTCCAACCTCGGATCAGAAGGTCTGTGGTTCGAATCCCATTACCGGACTCGGAAATTTTATGGCCGCTACACACACTATAATGTAAATCCAACCACCTGAACTAGCCCACATGCTAAATGTTATAAGTAAACATGTTCATTCAATTTTTTTTCAACTTTTGGATGAGCAGACTTGTGGCCATGTCAAACTCTGAATATGAACATGCCTCCAAAAGGCTGGCTGAATTTGTGGAGAATTACCTTAGTTCTAACACCTTAAACCCTTGTTTTTCTGATTTACCATCTGGGCGAAGATATCTCACTCCAAAAGTTAAATCTAAATGATCCCAGACCTCTTTTATTCCAGTTTTTTCTTGTATTATGTTTTGTGATGCTCTGATGTAAGAAAATTGGGGCAATAAAGAATTATCTCACCTCACCTCATAGTTCATCTACGGAGCCAAATATACTCTTATCATGTTTCATCTGTTCAAATTTCATCATGCTCTTTGGACAAGAGTTAAGCATTTTTGAGTGGGTGAAAATCTTTTGTGGGGTCATTCAGCGATGTCATTGTTTATTATTGACAATCATTTTTACAGGAGGTCGCATGTCAACATCGCGAAAACCAGGAGATGACACTTGCACTGTCGACTTGGGAGCTCAGTATTTCACCTTGACACCACAATACAAGACCAAGAGACAAAGGTTGATTCACAGGGACTACTTTTGTTTTGTTGATTTACAGATACATTTTTCTCTAATAAAAAAAATTATGAACTAAATTTTTGTTTTGTTTGTGATTGCAGCTCATTTCAGCTGAATCTGCAAACAGAAAAAAAATAAAAAGACACCTTCATATATAATCAAGAGAATCTGAAGAATCAGTGAAGCAGAAATAATAAAATGAGCTGTAATTATTTAAAACATAGGGCAAATGCACCAGAATAAATTAAATAAATGAAAACTGTCAATTTTCCTCATTGTCCAATTGCAGCCTGGTAATCTCAGTCTTCATTGCTGAAGAGTGTACAAATGACAACAGATAACCATCACCCTCTCTGTTGCAGTCTGTTTGATGAGCTGGAGTCTGCTGGAGTATTTAAACCCTTCAAGGGCGTGTTAGAGGGAGACAACTCCGTCGACTGCCGGCATTATGTGACGCCAGCAGGAAGTGGATCTCTCGTCAAACACTACCTCGCTAAATCAGGTAATTTATGTCCTTGTACAACCCAAGCTGACCATGAGGCACTGGAAGGTCAACAGTGACATTGCCATCTCCTCCTACCCCAGCTCATCAAATGAATATGCATTACAGCCATTAAGCTACAGTACTATGAAATCAATGCCAATGAAAAAAGAGAGTGTCACTTACATTAAAAACTTGATGCATATTTATCTGGACATGTTGTCAGGTTCACAGCACAGAAAAAAGGACATAAGTCATTATAAAGCAGCCAGAATGAATATTACTTTCAATATTAAGATTCTTCCACTCAATACAGGGTTAATAGTCACAGCAATACCTTTGACATGATATTTAATTAGACACAACCTGTAAAGATCAGGGGTAGAATATGTCTTCAGCAACCCATGCTTGTCGTAAAAGGCGACTATGCTTGTTGGGATCCGGTGGTCAGACTTGCTGACTTGGTTGATGCGTGTCATTGTATCCCAATTCCGTGGATTGATGCTCATGATGTCAATCACTGGATTGTCTGGTCCAGACTTGATTATTTACAGATGGCCGTCATATAGCTGGAATATTGCTGAGTGCGGCGTTAAACAACAAACAAACAAATGCAGGTAAGCAGGGAAACAAGCGGGTATCCCAATGGCGTGGATCGATGCTCAGGATGTCAGTCACTGGATTGTCTGTTCCAGATTTGATTATTTACAGACTGCCGTCATATAGCTTGAATATTGCTGAGTGCGGTGTTAAACAACAAACAAACAAACAAAAGACATGGTAAACACCTTTCAATTACATGACAGCGTCCATTTGATTCAAACACTGTAAACCCTTTTTTTTTAGCTGTATAAACCGCTATATACATTTTGGCCAACAAAATTATGTGTGTTTCTAATTTCAACCCTTCAAAATATGGTATAGGTAGGTCGTTTGGGTTTTTTGAGAGGGGTTTTTAAACCTTACTTCTTTCATAAACGGTAATTTGGTGTATGGGAGTGAAAGCAAGCTTTCAAATGAAGACAATGACTGGAGGATCTATAGCATGTATAGTTATTTTATTGTTGAGAAAAACAGAAAGAAGGGCCAGAGTTCAGATTAGGGTCAGTCACTTAGCCAGAAACACACATGTATTTAGGGGTCGTACCCAGTGGATAAGACTGATGTATTTGTGTACAAGGTGCTGAGGCCAAGTATGAGCACCACATATCTCAGGTGGACTTCAAGTCAGGAGATGGTCAAGCGGTCCAGGTGACAACTCAGGCAGGCACCAGTCAGGAGTTTGATGCTGTCATACTGACCATGCCAGTACCCCAGATTCTCCAGCTTAAAGGCGCCATACAGCAAAGTATAGGTAAGTGACTACTTACAGGAAATGTTTGTTGAGAGCTTGACATCTGTTTTCTTCTACTGTTATCTGTGAGCTGTAGATCCAATGTAGGGAACTCGGGTGGCCAAGTGACGTGCATGTACGTGTGTGTGTTTGTGTGGTCGCTTGTACTAGTCCGGACTGATGCCAATTTATAGTGCTAGCCCACTGAGATACCATGCCACAGTTTAACATGAATACCCCACTCAGACACAGTATACTGACTCCGAGCCAACAAGTGCTTGTTTTAGCCCCTTAATGCCGAGCGCCAGACAGGGTAACAACAAGTACCATCTTTTAACGTCTTTTGATATGACATCTTTTAACGTCTTTTGATATGACGCGGCCGGGGATCGAACCCTGGACCTTCCCCTCTCCGGGCAAACGCTCTACCACTAGACCACGGAGGCGGTCGGCAGATACAGGGGTACAAGTTGACTATTCATAAGGGGAGACTAGGATTAGGGGTACCTATGGTCCAAGAGATTCCATAGGTCATACGTTCTCAGCTGTGACCCACCGAAGGAAGTGTTACCCAGAAAAGGTCCCACGTCTTCTAAATTTGTCAATGGGGGCAGGTGGTTTTACTATTGGGGCGGTCGGGTACCCTAGTGGTTAAAGCGTTCGCTCGTCACCCCGAAGACCCGGGTTCGAATCCTGACATGGGTACAATGTGTGAAGCCCATTTTTGGTGTCCCCCGCCGTGATATTGCTGGAATATTGCTAAAAGCAGCATAAAACCAAACTCACTCACTCACTGGTTTTACTATGTGACTACATTACAGATCATCACACCCTGAGGATGTAAATGGTGCTAGAACTGTTTCCAAGTTATTGATCTGAGGCTATGGCATTGCTGAATGACACATAAAACTTCATTCTGCCACTCGCTGTTAAAGTTTGAACAGCTGGATGCTGTATATATTTCAACTGGTCACTCCCATGTGAGGTTATGTCTGGAGAAGTTCTTCATCTACAGCTATCATGGCTATAGCATTGCTGATGGACACATAAAACTTAATTCTGTCACTCGCTGTTGAAAGCTGAACAGCTGCATGTTATATATATTTCAGCTGGCCTGTCCAGTGTGAGGGCGTGTCTGGAGAAGGTGTCGTACTCCTCCCGGTTCTGTCTGGGTCTCTTCTACCCACCAGGAACACAGCTGCCCTTCCAGTGGGATGCCAAGTACTTCTTTGATGGTCCCTGTATACGATTTGTGGCCATAGATAACAGGAAACGAGGACTGCGTGGTAAACTATTCATAGAATAACCTAAAACTGTGCATCATCTGTACTTACCTGGTTGGAATACACTACGTTCATCCAATCACCCATGACTACATGCTTAGCGTTAACCATGACTACACACTTAGTGTAGTCACTATTTTTACCCAGTGCATCCTGTCACGGCCTGCTCCCAGTCAGAAGGAAACCAGTGTGTATTGAGACAATTTGAAAATAACATGAACAAGAATCTGTCATCTGTCCAGAATGAATTAATTTTCAAAGTCTTGGGGGAAAAGATATTCTGTGTTGCAGAGTTTGGAGTCAGTTTATCAATATATTGCCCACCGTCTATTTTCTGCATCTCCTTGAGGCATGGGTGTTAATTGACTATAAAAGTACAGTTTCCACATTTGCCGACCTTGGCTGGAATTATGGAGGTATATTTTGGCTGGACAAACAAGTCTGTGCATAGTCCAATCAAAATCAAAATCGACATCCATTTATGAATGCCTTACTGATTTCGGTTCATTTGTTCAGATTGTCTTGCCTTAGCCCCGCCATTTCTTTTTAAACAAATGCAAGTGATGTGAGAGGTGGAATCTGATTGGTCAATAGGAGGGACATAGAAGAGACATAACTCATAATGGCCAGTGGTGGCGCTATGATCAAGCCCAGAAATTTCAGCCTAGTTCGGCAATGGTGGAAGCTTGACTTTAACAGTTATCTCCCTTGACTTGGGAAGACAATTTTCTGAGAAAATGTGGAAAAGTGTGGTATCATGAACAATGGATGACTATCTTTTGTTATTTGCAACAATGTATTTGAATGACATCACGTTGCTATGAGCTTCTTTGCAAACAGTAGAACAATTGGGACAAACCAGCCAATCAGCATAAAGCCAAAATTATAATTATAGTAATACATGTAATTACTGACATTATTCCTCCTCTATTGATCCTCCAATGGACAGTCTCAATCTTTATCACCCACATGATATATCTCTGTATGATTTTAATGAGATTGTTCCTATGGGTAATATAGCACTGTGCATGATTCCCCTTTTGGAATGACAACATAGTGATTTAGCTTGGAGGTTTATTTTGACACTGGTGTGATCTGCCTCAGATGTGCCCCCGTCGGTGCTAGTCCACACCAGCGTTCCCTTCAGCCTCCAGCACTTGGAGACAGACAAGGAGGCCATGAAGCCCCTGATCATGCAGCACCTGCGTGACATCCTACCTGATCTACCCGAGCCGGAGGTCGTTAAAAGTCACAAATGGAGGTATTCACAGGTAAGTGACCCCTGAAGATCCAGAGTAGAATAGGTCTTCAGCAACCCATGCTTCCCGTAAAAGGCGACTATGCTTGTCGTAAGAGGCAACCAACGGGATCGGGTGGTCAGGCTCGCTGACATGGTTGATGCATGTCTTCGTATCTCAATTGCGTGGATCGATGCTCATGATGTCAATCACTGGATTGTCTGGTCCAGACTCGATTTATTTACAGACCGCCGTCATATAGCTGGAATATGGCTGAGCCCGGCGTTAAACAACAAACAAACAAAAACAGGTAAGTGGGGACACAACATCATGTCGCTGTGTTTCCCCACAGTTACATCATCATGACCATCATGTATTCAGTGGTTTGTCTGGTCTAGCTGGACTCACTCACTCACTGGTTCCCCACTGGTCCCCTCTGGTTTGGTGAAGTCAATTCCAGATCCTTGTGTGTGTCGAAAAAGTTAACTACAAAGTGGAAAAGCTATGTGGAAGTAATCATAACATATTGGCTGAGAAGGGATCCCAGGTCAAAATATAGGCCCAAGGCCTCTCACACTTGAGCTGACAATGGGAATAGGTAGCACGGATTGGTCACTAGTTTGTGTGATCCTGATGTGTTTACATACACATCACCATGATATTGCTAAAACCATTTCTGGCAGTTGCATTCAACATCATTCACCCACTCGTTCATATGCCTCATGCCCATCTTCACGATGCACTAATTTACATCACTTACGGGTGTTCCCCAATTACAGGTGTTCCCCAGTTACAAGTGACCCTGTGTTACAGGTGTTCCCCAGTTACAGGTGCCCCTATGTTACAGGTGTTACCCAGTTACAGGTGACCCTATGTTACAGGTGTTCCCCAGTTACAGGTGCCCTTATGTTACAGGTGTTACCCAGTTACAGGTGCCCCTATGTTACAGGTGTTACCCAGTTACAGGTGACCCTATGTTACAGGTGTTCCCCAGTTACAGGTGTGACCCTATGTTACATGTGTTCCCCAGTTACATGTGACCAATGTTACAGGTGTTCCCTGGTTACAGTTGTGACCCTATGTTACACGTGTTCCCCAGTTACATGTGACCAATGTTACAGGTGTTCCCTGGTTACAGTTGTGACCCTATGTTACAGGTGTTCCCTAGATACAGGTGTGACCCTATGTTACAGGTGTTCCCCAGTTACAGGTGTGACCCTGTTACAGGTGTTCCCCAGATACAGGTGTGACCCTGTTACAGGTGTTCCCTAGATACAGGTGTGACCCTATGTTACTGGTGACCTTATGTTACAGGTGATACTATGTTACAGGTTTGGCCCTATGTTACAGGTATTCCAGCAGTATGAAGGTTCCCCAGGCTGTGTGGTGCTGGAGACCAAGCCCCTAGTCATCCTCGCTGGGGATGCATTTGCTCAGAAAGGAAACTTCTCCGGGGCCCTAGACTCTGCTGAGGCGACTGTGCAGGCTGTTACAAAGAGCATCAACAGTAGCTTATAACACAGGCTGAAGCTGGAGATGTGTGGATTGTCCTAGTGAAGTGTGTACAGTATTAGACCGGAATATATGCAGATAAATGTGACCAGGGTTGTGTGCAGCATATGGGATGAATACCATGGCAGCAGCATACTGCCTGCTGTTTGAACACAACTCCACTCCCTGTTACCAAGATCTATCTGAAAGCTGACAGAAGCCATGGTTCTCAGACAGGTCATGGCAACAGGAACACCTCCCCATTGAGGTCTGCGTGACATTCTTCTACAATGAGAATGTTGTAAAGGGATGATGTCTTGTTAAAGTGATGACTGATTTACATTATACTTTATATACAAGTTATGTTATTCTGAATATATATTTAGTATACTGTATTCCGTGTGATGGTTTCAAAAAAAAACATCTCCTACCATGTCTACTCAGGTAATGAATATGATATTAAACTCTTTGATTGTGATGTTAACTTTCTTGTTAACTTCTTTGTATCTGACATTGAGTGAGTGAGTGTATGGTTTTACACCGCTTTTAGCAATATTCCAGCAATATACCGGCAGGGGGACACCAGAAATGGGCTTCACACATTGCACCCATGTCGGGAATCAAACCCGGGTCTTCAGCGTGACGAGCGAACACTTTAACCACTAGGCTACCCGATCGCCCCTCATATCTGAAAGGGGGGCACGGGTGGCCCAGTCATCTAAGGCGCCGCAATTCGCTGTGCAGGGTTGCGTCCCTTGGGCACGCCAGAAACCTATGTTTGTGGGTTCGAATCCCTGTTCGCCCCGATTATGTTTCTAGGTTTGTCAGCACCATACCCGTGCTTGTGGGTTTCACCGAAGTGGTAAACGTCTAAGACCTGCATCACTTCGGGCTTTCCTCCCACATTAAGCTGACACGCCGTGATATAACTGGAATACTGTTAAAAGCGGCGTTAAACCAAACTCACTCACTCACTCACTCACTCACTCATATCTGAAAGATCTAAGGAGATGAGTCAGACTATTGATGGTGTTAAAATGTAGTATAAGCAAATTGATTTAAAAGATCTTTTATAATCCTTTGAGAAACAGCAACACAATGGAGTTCAGATAGGTTCATGCCAGTAATATGAAATTAAATAAATGACACTAGTTTCTGTCTTATCACATGAACCAGGCTACATTATTCTTTGCTTATTTAGTGGCTAAAGATTTCACTACAAATTACATTCCACTTGCAACTGGGATTACAACCACCTAGAAATTAACATTTAGATACTCTCACTATTGACCAGTGACTTCTGGTTGGTTGGTCAAGGCTGCAGTGGTATAGCTCTTCTGTTGCTGACTATGACTGCTGGCTGGTTGTCAAGGCTGAAGTGGTATAGCTCTTATGTTGCCGACTATGACTGCTGGTTGGTTGGTCAAGGCTGCAGTGGTATAGCTCTTATGTTGCCGACTATGACTGCTTGTTGGTTGGTCAAGACTGTAGTGGTATAGCTCTAATGTCGCTGACTATGACTGCTGGTCTGTTGGTTGGTCAAGGCTGCAGTGGTATAGCTCTTATGTTGCCAACTATGACTGCTGGGTGGTTGGTCCAGGCTGCAGTGGTATAGCTCTTATGTTGCTGACTATGACTGCTGGTTGGTTGGTCAAGGCTCCAGTAGTATAGCTCTTATGTTGCTGACTATGACTGCTGGTTGGTTGGTCAAGGCTGCAGTGGTATAGCTCTTAAGTTGCCGACTATGACTGCTGGTTGGTTGGCCCAGGCTGCAGTGGTATAGCTCTTCTGTTGCTGACTATGACTGCTGGTTGGTCCAGGCTGCAGTGGTATAGCTGTAATGTCGCTGACTATGACTGCTGGTTGGTTGGTTGGTCCAGGCTGCAGTGGTATAGCTCTTATTTCGCTGACTATGACTGCTGGTTGGTTGGTCAAGGCTGCAGTGGTATAGCTCTTATGTTGCCAACTATGACTGCTGGTTGGCTGGTCAAGGCTGCAGTGGTATAGATCTTATGTTGCTGACTATGACTGCTGGTTGGTTGGTCGGTCCAGGCTGCAGTAGTATAGATCTTATATTGCTGACCTAGACACGGTTGTCATCATGATACAGCAGAGTTGGTTGTGTCATTGAGCCTTTGATGACGACAACGTTGTCCTATTACTGACAATGATACAGAACACCATGGCCTACCAACTGCTAATTGTATTGATTTATACTATTCTACATGACAGGTGATAATGGCAACACCATTCCCTTTGAAAACAAAGAACACAAACTGTTTAACAGTTTCATTTCAATTATTAAGAATTTATCAATAAGATCTGATGATATACAGCAACAAGAGTTCAAATACAATCTTAAGAATTTGCTATGGATTGCCACAATAAAATAACTTGTACAAACTCATTTTTGAAGAAATTGTTATGATGTTTGAATTTTGTTTGAAGGGCAAATATACTTAAGACAAACATACTATGTGATCATGCAGAAGTTTCCAATCATAAATTGAGCACAGTTAAATCTGTACATATTAATTCAAAATGCCTACCAAAATGATTGAGGATTTTCTTTGTATATTAGCTTCCGCTTTGAGGCAGTCCTCAAATCATCAGTTGTGGTAACTGTGGTTTGAAACCTCCGATTGACCAGTCAAAATCAAGTAATTTCCAAATTCATTGTAGCATTTAATGTTTAAAAAACGCACCTTTTCTCGCATTTACAATTGAATATATGAACATCAAACATCCGTTTCTTTCTAAGTCATAGAGATTCTATAACTTAAAAGATCCTGAACTATACATCTAGATTTCATATATATATATCTGTTTAATATGTATATATAATATAAAGTATCAAATATAAATATGTACATCTCATTCAGTACTGATACGTAATGGTTTGTCTCTAATCACTGAGGCCTAGAAGAATTGATAGTATAACTGCACATGTTTGTGATGAAGTTCTTTTCGCTGCCTACGCTACACCCCAGGTTACACAGGGCAATGCATTACTGGGATTGATGTGAACTGCTGTGATACCACATAGGTTGTTTCTGCACAAATAGGTGAGTGAGTGAGTTGGGTTTAACGCCGCTTTTAACAGTATTCCAGTTATATCACGGCGTGTCAGCTTAATGTGGGAGGAAAGCCCGAAGTGATGCAGGTCTCAGACGTTTACCACTTCGGTGAAACCCACAAGCACGGGTATGGTGCTGACAAACCTAGAAACATAATCGGGGTGAACCGGGATTCGAACCCACAGTCATAGGTTTCTGGCGTGCCGAAGGGACGCAACTCTGCACAGCGAATCTTGGCGCCTTGCCCCCACAAATAAATGAAAGGACTCAAGTGTACTTCAAGGTGTGAAAGAATATCAGCAAAACGGAGGGAAACTCTGTAGTCCGTATCACAGGCCGAACAAACACTTCACATTTTTAGGAAAAGAATAAGCAAAATCTGCACAATAATGGACTGCTTTGTACTTACCAACTGTGAAATGCTGATTATTTGTAGACTTCGTCATCAAAGATTACTATCTGTCATATGTTAGCCACTTTGTGGTTAATTGGGTTACTGGCAAATACACTGCCTCCGTACTATCACAAGGGAACACTAAATGACCACAAGTGACAATTTCACGATTGAACAAAATGACTTGTGAAGTATATGATAGTATGAATAAAAGCATGAGCAAAATACACTGCTAAAACACACAGTACACAGACAGGAATGTACACCAACATAGTCCGACATGACAGTGAGTCTGACATGACGTGTTGTTAATGGATGAATCTGCTCTCAAACATTTCAGGAAGTTCAAACCATGCTATGGTTAATACAAATCACTTGCACAAAATGCACCTCTTGAATGGCTAGTGAAATCCTGGCTCAGAATCAACTGCAATAACATCAGCGTGACATAATCATAATGGTTTAATTCTAGGGAAAACATCTAAATCAGTAAACATTACATATGTTCAATTATTGTATACCTATCAATGATATGAGGCATTTTGCATTTTCGATAGAGCCAACATGGAGACGGTCATATCAAAGGGGGTATAATAACCAGAGTCTTATTACGTCCCCTGCTCTGCTGACATGGCTTGTTAATGCATTTTGAATGGGCGATCAATATCAGCCCAGACGGTAAGAAATTAGAGTTACGTCCCTTAGTGTGTCATCTGCTCGTCTGCTCAGCTAGCTTTCCTGTGATAATGACATCCAAACGTGAAAATGTTTTGCATTAACTTGCAAATAGATACATTTTCCAATTTTATGTTATGGAAAATGATAAAATGGTTATATGTCAGTTTTCATATCAAACCCCATATCAACCCTCGACCCCCACATTAGCCCTCAGGCTGATATGGGGGTCTCGTGTTGATATGGGGTATGATATGAAAACTGCCATATAATAACCATAAGTCTGCCTCATACAATCTGTCCACACACACATTCAGTTTCCTGCCTGCTGCAGAACAACATACTTGTATTATTAAAATATTCTTCACCAAGTAGCATTCTCACTTTATTTGCACATATCGCTGTGTACAGAGTAATGAATGAAGATATTGTTGCATTAAACTCATGTCAGACTTGCACCACAGCACTGTGTACACAGGCTTTGTTGGACCCTAAGGGACCGGTCATTTATTACATAGGGGTGGTAAGAGGCTTTTGATGCACTTATGTACTGAAAATAATTACATATGACCCTCCCCACATCCTTGTACATTTTTGTCTTGACCCTCCCCAAATGGGTGTATTTTTTTTTCTAACTCTCCGCAAGAGACAAGTCATATTTTTGGCGATGCTCCCATGATTCCCTCTGACCCACTAGCAGCTATAACCAATGATCGGTCCCTAACTATGCCAAATATAGATACTGGTACCCTTCAACAGCTTGGTGTTCCCACATACTTGGATATCTGCATATATTCATATTAGCCTTTGATTAATTACAGTAGGTATGAGTGAGTGAGGTTTTACGACGCTTTAAGCAACATTCCAGCAATATCACGGTGGGGGACACGACAAATGGGCTTCACTCATTGTACCCATGTCGGGAATCGAAACCTGGTCTTCGGCGTGACGAGTGAACTCTTTAACCACTAGGCTACCCGACCGCCCCTTGAAGGTATGAGCGAGTAGGGTCTTGCATCCCTTTCAGCATTATCCCCACCATATCACTGCAGGGGGACACCAGAAATGGGACTCACACTGTACTCATATGGAGAATTGAAGCCAGGGATTCGGGTAACAGGACAAAGCTTTAACCAGTAGACTACCCCACTGCACATGTTGAGCATGACACAATATTGTCAGCAAAACTAACCATTTCATCATTAATCTTAGTTATAACATTACATAAATGTTTTTGTCAATGCTTATTTAATACAGTATCAGGGTTTTTTCATTTTATCACTGCCTACTTGAAAACATTCCCCACGGTGGGCCCAGTTACATCCAATACATTGTCAAAGAGGTACTGTTTTTTCCCCAGCTATTTAAACAATTCCTTTTCTTTCAATACCACACTTTTGACTTAATGGACAAGATCAATTATCAGAATAACATTATCTTTTCATTGGACACTTTGTGGAACATCTTCAATAGCTTTCACAGTACTGCATAACCAGTAAAATTCTGTCCTTTTCTATTGTTTGTTCACTGTAAAACTGTAGTGTGCTCATTTAATGTCAAGATGAACAAATCAAAGTCTTCTGGGAAAATATGATGGGGATCTTTAGTGTAAAACTGGCTAGAATCTTTATTGCACATCAGTCACAGTACCATAGTCTGCAAGTTTCACTGCATAGCAGTATGTTCAACATGTCGAGATCCCTAGCAGGAATCTGACTTGACTTGAAGTTGATGCCTTGCAGAGGACACTCTGGAATCCGAGTATCAGCTTATGTCCTTAACTCCTCCCCCGATACAGAGACAGGACCCGAGACATCATACCACCATCGTTATTTGTTGTTACCATTTAAAAAGCCAGGGACTACACAGAATCTTCATTCAACAATCAACTCAGTAATAAATTCTCAACGTACATACATGTACATGTACGAGTACACAAAAACACCAACCATCACGACCTTGTATGTCAACATAAACATGTCACACGATCACTGATACTCCCCACTACACGTATGTCAACATAAACATGTCACACAATCACTGCTACTCTCCACTACACGTATGTCAACATAAACATGTCACACGATCACTGATACTCTCCACTACACGTATGTCAACATAAACATGTCACACGATCACTGATACTCACCACTACACATATGTCAACATCAACATGTCACACGATCATGGATTCTCCCCACTACAAGTATGTCAACCTCAACAACATTCACCCTCTCAACAAACATATATTTACCAAACATGACAATCATCCCTTGGTGACAAACACAAACATGATGATCATCCTGTGATGTCGCACACAAACATAACAATCACCCCTCGATGTCACTCACAAACAAGACAATCATTTCCTTGATGTCACACAAATATGACAATCGCCCCTTAATGTCACACATATTCTTGAATCACACTTCACAACTCTTCCTTAGACTTCTTCCCTTTCTTCTTCTTGGTCTTGTTAAGCGAGCTACAGTCCCCCTGTACGCCATCGCCGTAACACAGGAACTTCTCGAGGAGCTTGCCTTGCTCCTTGTAGGCGTGGTAGATCTCCTCCTCCCCCAGTTCCCCGACGTAGTTCTGGCACATCTGCTGCAGCCTGCCAACACAACGCCACACACATGACAACCACTCACAGGTTCATGGGAAGGAGAGGCACATTTTGTGATCTCAACTTAACAAAGATGTAAGATGATTACAAATAATATGTCAAGCAATTGCTATTTGGTACTGTGATACTTTGGATGATGACATATATACCAAATGAGTTGGATAAAGTGCTGTAAAATGCTTACATTTTGTATATCTGATCACCAATAAAACTTATGCAGTCTGCAATTTCAGCAGCTGGTCCAAAGTCCGAGTCTAGTAAAGTTTTGTTTTGTCCAGTAGTTTGGTGTTTGGTCTAGCTGATAATAGTTAATATATTAACACTAAAATCTACTGGTGAGGTGAAATGGAGTCGCATCCAAGATTATTGCGCTTATATAGCGACGTGCATGTACGTGTGTGTTTGTGTGGCTGCTTGTACTAGTCCGGACTGATGCCCATTTATAGTGCTAACTCACTGAGATACCATGCCACAGTTTAACATGAATACCCCACTCAGACACAGTATACTGACTCCGAGCCGACCAGTCCTTGTTTCAGCCCCTTAATGTCGAGCGCCAGACAGGGTAACAAAAAGTGCCATCTTTTAACGTCTTTCTGTGTGACAAGGCCGGGGATCGAACCGCGGACCTTCCGCTCTCCCAGCAGACACTCTAAAACTAGACCACGGAGGTGGTCCTAAAATCTACTGAAATTCATGTTAAGAGACCATATGTATAGGGCACAGATTGCAAATGAATGTTTAGTATGCGTAAAACAAAGCACCTGCACTGTGTGTGTTTGTTGTTTAACAATGCACATTGCAATATTCCAGCAATATGAGGTCTGGATCATACGATCCAGTGATTGATATCATGAGCATTGATCCAGACAATTGGGAGATCACCCAATCCATTAAGTCACCTATTACAACAAGCATAGGTTTCTGGGAACATATTCTTTCCCTGGATTCCCTACAGGTTCACCTGCACTGTGGTTGGTCGGTTTGTTGTTTAACGCCGCACTCAGCAATATTCCAGCTATATGACGGCGGTCTGTGAACAATAGTCTGGACCAGACTCCAGTGATTGACATCATGAGCATCGATCCGCGCAATTGGGATCGATGACATGCATCAAACAATTCAGCGAGCCTGACCACCCAATCCCGTTAGTCGCCTCTTACAACAAGCATAGTCACCTTTTACAGCAAGCATGGGTTGCTGAAGACCTATTCTACCTGCACTGTGAATTGAGGGGCCTCAGACGACTGGATCACCCCTGGTTCCTGTGTACATGTCAAGCCTAAGGAGAAAACAGGCAACTCACCTGCCAGGCCATTTGCCGCCCCCCTGCATCACCCCGGGGACATCCGCTGTCTCCAGCCCGGGGCCTGACAACCGCTTAACTCCCTTGATGTCCTTCACCCCACAGCTGTATATGGTAAATAAATAATAATGTAAATTTTTCCAAACATAATTTTCTTCTATTTTAAGAAACACAGATAATGTTAAATATTCATAAAACAATCAATAGTTTTTTTAAAGATCATTTACAACTAAAAAACACGCGCATGCGCACAACAGAAATGTCACAGTTTGGCTTTATTAATTTAATGTCTCTTTTCTTATCAGAGAAAATACAGTAAATGGACTACTAAACAGTGAGAAAGTTGCATAAATTTGTCCCGTTTCGATGTATCAGAGGCGTAGTAGGAATTACCAAACAAATTAGGAAAGAATTCCAATGTACATCATGAGGGTCAGTGACATGTTTCTATTGTCATTAAATATGAAACGAATGATAAATAAATACCACAAAATAGAGAAGGAGTCATTAAAACTGTTATGTTACAGTATTCTACACAATAAGCGCCCAGGGTGCTCTCAAAATTAGAAATTGGGGGATCTTATTGTAATGTATTTTTTGTGAGAAAAAAAACAGAGATGAAAGATTGTAAATTTCGTAGTTTATGCTGACAGCCTGAAATGATACAAAAGAAAAGTATGTTCGTATCATACACAACAGATACATTTTCCAAAATTTAATTGCCCATAATTAAGGGTGCATATAACACACGAGACTGCATATTATACGTGAATAAATAAGTGTTGTGTACATAGATCAATCGGAAGAGGTGCTAATTGGGATTGTTCATTAGCCAATATATTAGCAAATATTGCCGTGGTATATGGGAGATCTTATTAGAGATCATATCAAACTGATTACTTGTTACACCGCTCACATTGTTTTCGACAAACAGAGTAAAACATCATTTTGATATATTGTAAACAACAGCCAAAGTTGAATACAGCTCCTGATTCTGAAACAAAGTATTTTCAGCAGAGACAACTGACAACCAACAAGATGACACAACCACCACACAAGTCGTCAAACAGCACAGGCTATATTAGATCACTTGGACTTTTGCCCAGATAACTGTGATCATGACTTACCTTTCAAACTTATCCGTACAAACTACTTCAAAGATGTCGAGAATCTCATGTTCTGGTAAAGTTTTCACAGACGGTCGATTCTTATGAATCTTGTCAAACTTGGAATACATCTGGAAGAAAAGATGCATAAAGAAGTCATTCTCTACATAAAACATGATCAGGATTCCATCCAAGATTATCCAGTTTATAATAAGATTAAACAGATTTCCATTCAACTCGTCACAGTCCTGTGATTGTAGCGCCTCCCTAGTCGTAAATGTCTCTAAGTGGGTGCCATCCGGCACAGCTCTGTGTCTCTATGCTAATTAGGGTAGTGTTAGAGAATCTGTTGTCCTTTTATTCTCTAGCAGTTTAATCTCATACTCTTATCATGTACTGTTTTCATATATGTTATCTACCTTTGGGTAGTTTATCAAGAATCCAAAAACCACAAAAAAATCCTAATACTTACCGACTCCCTAAGTGGACTGCAAGCCCTCCAAAACAAAAATACCAAAAACCGACCTAAATTAATAAATCAAATACTTAAAAGCTCCAACGACCTAACTAAGGCAGGCAAACAAATAACCTTCTTGTGGATACCCGCCCACGTAGGAATATACGGTAATGAAAACGCCGATAAAGCAGCTAAACTATCCCTCAAAATCCCAGAAATAAGCTTAAACTTACCCATCTCAAAATCAGAAATTAAAAGTGTAAACAAGCAAAAAATCACCAAAAAATGGCATAACCTATATCTAAACTCAAATAGCCAAATCAAAAAAGTGCTCAGCAAACCACTAACCAAACCAAAAATTCTCCATCCATCCAAAAAAATCGACAGAGTAATCACTAAACTCCAAACAGGACACACCAACCTAAATAACCACCTAAAAAAATTTAAAAAACACACTACAGGTAACTGCCCACACTGCAAACAACCAGAAACCCCAGAACACGCACTCATCCACTGCACACACTACCTAACACATCGAACCGCATTACAAACCACTCTCAATCTAAACAAGGCTCTAACTCTAGAAGCAATACTAAACCCACAAAATAAACTAGAAAACTTCAAGGCCTTAGGCGTATTCTTAATCAAAACGGAACTAATAAAACGCATCTAAAAACACAATAACTCACCAAATCAAAATCACATAAACAAACAAACATCCACCATACCCAGCTCCCTTAGTTCTCCTCCCCAATCCCATCGGCATCTATTCCAAATCTCAAAATTCCCAAATTCTATATAAGCAACCCCTAAAACCCCCCTCTTGGGTTGCACAGACCACCTTCGCCCCTTTCGGAAACACATTAAATGGCCTGGCCGGGCCCGTGTGCGAAAGACGCATCAGTCGGAAAGCGCACGTTAAATCTCCAAAGTAAGTAAGTAAGTAAGTAAGTAAGTAGTTTATGTTCATTCCTCCCACTAGGCCATGGAGGCGGTCGGAGATATGGGGAATTAGGCAGTGTTGTTATACTGTTGGGGTTAGGAAATGTTTCATGTGTATCTGTATGCAATCAACTCAACCTGAACTGGGAAATGATGATATATTTCAAACATTACTCAATTTCATTAGGTTATCTGGAGCTCTGACATATACCAATAACTGAAAAGAATCTGACACAAGCTATAAAAACATGATTAAACATTACCACTCTTCATTAATGTAAAAGTAAAAGATTCAATCACTGGTATTAGTTTATGGTTGTTTAACAATTACTTGATAACACTTTCATGCTTGCAAAACACTTACCTGATGAACTGTGGTATCATTTGCAATAAGCATGGTTAACATATGCATATTGCAATACTAACAAGTCATATTGGAAGGTGTCCAAATTGTGTTTGTCTGCAACTCTATTTTTGTGATATATCTGAATCTAATTCATGGTCTCTGTAATTACATGGTCAAAGTCAAATTTCACACAAAGGCTAATTACATCTAGGCCAACACTAGAAATGACCACCATGACCACACCACACAGACCCCCTTTAAAATGTACAAAGGACTATCATTACACATGGGGTGCAGATTGGTTCACATTCATTGACTGACTGTTATCCAAACTGCCCTGTATTCTTTTTCAAACTGATACTGGCATAGAAGAATGTCCTTTCCAAATTTGATAAATTCATGAACAGGTTGGTGTACATTTTCATGCCATTTAAGGAGCATTTGTCTACTGCAAAATCACCGACTAACATTAATAATAATATTATTTATTCATTTGGATGTAAAGGTTACAAGCAAATACAGTCCAAATACCACTCTATAATCCAAAGTATGCATATGTTAGGTATGTCCTAATAATCTAAATGTGAACATGCACACAGGTGCCTTGAACAGCTGTTGAACAGTTTGGTTTATTTTTTTTTTAACAAAACTCAATGCAACCCGCCACATATATCTTTTAACAGGTTCGTTATTTGATGACATTCTACATATAGAATTTAAGTTTAAACGTTTCAGTCCGATATGCTATTGATTCCAAAGAACCTAAGTCCTCCAATACACATAACTGTCTCAAATCTTATAACCCATGTAATCTCCATAATGACACTCCCAGTCAACCCATAAAACAAAAGTGCCACGCCCACTTCTGAAGTATCAACAACGTTCAACAGCAATTCACAAAAGTCTGACAACAAAGCAACATCGTCAGTATTGACACGTATACTTCCGCACTCACCAAATGTGCAATCACCCTGCATCCGTCACACTTGAGAGATGAGGGCATGTGAAAGCTGTAAGCATCTTCATCGTCCAACTCGGGTGTTTTGAAACTAAGTGTTCCGGAAGAACCATCATCACTTTGGTCCAACCCCTTGATGGCTCCGTCACCGTAAACATGAGAGAAGAGGGCAAACAGGAACACCGATGAGATGAATTGCACCGCCATGACTACCCGGTTTCCTGTCAATGAGACAACACACACAGAACTGGTGTATTATTCAATGTTTCGCTACATATCAGTGATATTTCGCGCCGCGACAAATGAAGGGAAGACACGTTATGCGCAGTGAGAGTGCGCAGTGGTTACATCCTGGATCGTGTTTCCGCGATAACCCCCACTGTGTTTATATGCTGCTATGGTTACTAGAATGTTTTAATTTAAGTCTCGGATTTTAGTATTTCTCCCGATAAAAGGTTAAGATTCAGGTTGCATTATGAATATTTCATTAAGTCGGATAAAACATTAGACGACAGTAGATCAGAATGAATTATTAAGCATTGGAGATTGGATTTCAATGTTAAATCTTGCCGTGTTATTTCAGGCTTGTGTGAGTGGAACAACGGGTTTTGTTTGTATCAAATTATTAATCAAGATTCGACTTTATTAACAAGAGTAGATGATTTGTTAATACAGCGAGTCTGCGTAATTACTCTCCTTGTTTCATATTAGGGAGCCGTTGTGTACACAAAAGTAATTGAAGTAAACATAAAATGCCTAATGTTTCTATCCATGGTCACGTTATTCTATGCGGTAACCCAGCCCTGTTGGTTTTTTGTTCTCTAATCCATGAGCGTAGCAGCACAAGATGGACATCCTTAAATGTTTGTCATTGTAATTACTCTCCCTCCCAACAAAAAAGTTTGTTCTCACGGAAATGAAAATGTAATCATTTTATTATGCATTTGATATATTTACTGACGACGTGTTTAGCCAAAGGACCAGCATTACAAGGTTTGCAATACCATCTCCTTCCTACCGGGTACCCGTTCCCTACCTCCCATCATCCCATCCGCCTACTATGAACTCATCAAGCATTAATCACTCACTTATCCTGTTTAATTGGCTTCATGACCCATTGGCTTCCACCTATGTGTTCTCTGTCCATCGTGTTGTGACAGTATTATCCCCATGTTGTCAACACCTTACCTATGTTATCCCACTCATATATGCAATTGTTGTTACTGTTAATCCTCCACCTACTATATATATTCTGTACTATGTCCCTCATTCAGTCTTGCTTGACAACTGTATAAGGATCTATACCGGAACGTCGCTTTTTACAGTATTAAATAAGTTGTTATCCATAAAATTGTGTCTACTTTATCATCCGTCAACTTCTAAGTAATGCCTATCAAACAATTTGTTCCTTACCTATAAGCTAAAATGTTTGAAATATTGTTTGTTGAAATATGTCTCATACAAAACGCAGAATTGATCCGTCGATATTTAAAAGATGTCAGGTAATTGAGACTATACTTATCAGGGCGACTAAAATAGATCAAAGAGGTACTGAGGATGGTTAGAAAGGTCTAATAAACAATCTGCAAAGCTAGTTTACGCGTACGGGATGTGTGAGTTAAATCCAAATATCATTAGCCAAGTTCCAGAAAAATAAAGTTGTGATGTGCCAAATCATACAAGTGGAAGCGTGACATACCATCAGATTAGCTACAGTCTTAACTAGGGAACGCGCGCTTTGATATTAAACTATCCACAGTGTCGAAAGACATGCACTCAAAGTATTCAGCGCGTTCAGCCAGTGACAGTTTTTGCTGTAGAGTTGCCTAAATGATGGTGATGTATTTGGCACGTGTCCTATCTTCCCGGAGCACCTGGTGCATGGCATGATATGGAGGTCTTCTGATGTTTACCTGGAATATATCTCATACATGTTAGATATAAACATGTTTCAGGAAAGTAGCTCTGGTCGAGAACTAACGATTTGTTTCACATGTTGGTGTTTACAGTGGCTGTTATATCAACCACACAAAGTTGCCGGAGTTAGTATAAGTGAGAGTTAATATTTCTTTCCGTCGATCGCATCACCAATTTTGCACATTTTCGACGCTGAAGCCCATTTGAATTCGCGGTCCCTTCCTCGTGCATATTGTATGAAGATGATTTATACATTGTGCGTGGACATACGACCACTTGTGTATGTCCTAGTGGTATGTACCATGGAACCAATCCGCCAAAGCCTTACAGTGGTACTAATATTTCTCATATCTGTGGTGAAGAGAAACACAATTCAACCAAGAAAGCGACAATATCACTAAAATTTGCCCTAACGAATTATTGTAAACGATCACGTCACTAGGGTTGGAATTATTTCATGTCCTGCCCTATTTCTGCCATCTCTCGACCGAAAGTAGGGGTTACAGTGCATGTACAATTGGCCCTAGAAAGTGAGTGAGTGAGCTGGATTTAACGCCGCTTTTAACAGTATTCCAGTTATATCACGGCGTGACAGCTTGATGTGGGAGGAAAGCCCGAAGTGATGCAGGTCTCAGACGTTTACCACTTCGGTGAAACCCACGAGCACGGGTATTGTGCTGACAAACCTAGAAACATAATCGGGGCGAACGTGGATTCGAACCCACAATCATAGGTTTCTGGCGTGTTCAAGGGACGGGCCCACGAAAGAGTATACGTCCTTCAAAATTCAGGGACATTTGACTCCAGTCATGATCATTGCACTTCATGGCACCCGGACAAGGAGGGGCATAGATGTTACCTCGAGTATATTTTTTTTTGTTTTTGTTTAACGCCGAAATCATTCCACCTATGCGACGTCTGTCTGGACCAGACAAGCCAGTGATTGACATCATGAGCACCGATCGGCGCATTTGGGATACGATAATGCAATCAACCAAAGCCGCCTATATGGTGCGAGTCTGACCAGTGACCACCCTACCCATCGAGTCGTCACTAACGACAAACATATGTAGGTTGCTGGAGACCTATATTTTTACCCAGAATCCCACGGGTCTGCAGATGTATAGCTGTTCCACCGCTGACCTACGTTCTCGTCATGATAGAGCGGTGTTGTCTTTGTACAGGGAGCATTTGAGCCCACCGACCATGAAACATGTTTGACGGACAATCCATTATAACCAACACATGTGTAGCAAGAATCCATAGCTGCCGTTACCGCGCACCATCATCAGTCCATCCATCTATATTTCGAGATTTTCCGGCTCGATAACATGGTTTGTTTGTTTGTTTGTTTGTTTTACGCCGCACTCAGCAATATTCCAGGTGTATGATGGCGGTCTGTAAATAATCGAGTCTGGACCAGACAATCCTGTGATTGATATCATGGCTTTACCAATAAATTAACATTATGCTATGCCATTCGGACTGTAGGCAGATTACTTTGGTTACCTTATTTTCGTCGCACAAATTATTTTGTTGCCAAATTTTTGCAGTATAAATTCATGACTTCCTGTGCAGCCATTCTCAACATTAGTTGCATATAATAAATACACATATTCGTTTAAGTGGAGAACAGGGTATGACTAGTATACGCACAAACCCTGCATATCTGCTTATGTCATGAGCAAATTATATTTCTACATCTCTGCCTAATTTCATATTTGCGTTCAGTCCATCAACAGCTCCACATGCACTCTATCTGTGTTTAAAGCATGGGAGTTGTACTCCTGTCTAGAAATAACTGTATAGAGGACTGCCCCTTCCATTAGGGAAACACAATAATCCACATTCGTTACCACTCGCCCCTTTCCGTAACTGCAAGAAGACTCGTCCCCCTATCGATGAATGTCATTTGCGAAAATACCGCTTGTCCCGGAATAACACGAGCTGGTCACGAATGAATAATGCAATGACGTCTCATCGTTCACGTGGGCTGGTTCCTCGCTTTCGCTACGCATCTATCTTTTGTCACTCTCCTACCCAGAGTTCCATGCGACCAACATAGTACCTCTGCCATAGGCCAGCGCCATGTGACGATTCGTCACATCTTTCACAGTCCATTCAAGATATTGCATATGCTTTTCATCCGTCTACACATTTTCGTAAACAAATGTCAAAGGATCGTTACGGTTCATTAAGAAAGTATTCTAATACGTGAAAATCTACTTGTTTTTGCGTAGTTATCCTTTGTTTACATTGGTTGTACGGCTCCACGTGCTGTCGTCGAAGCCCAACGGAGAGCTAGCGATACGGTCACTTTGATGTATAAATATATATTGTCATGCAACTCACTGTCGCAGTTGTAGTAGCATATCTATATAATTATGCAAAACAATATGTAAAGCGCCCCCAAATACTTGTATTTGTCCGTTCTATACTGATTTCTGAAAAAGCGCGTTTGTTTACAAACAAGAGAAAAGTCCGGTCACGTGATATGTAAATTAGCTTGTGGCAGCGGTGTTATGCTGAGTCACCACTGCGTCGGAGTGTGATGAAGAGATGGAACTTAAGCTGGACCTCGTCTTTAATATCGCAAGTTGACGACGCGCAAAGGGAGCCGGGAGCCAGCTTAAGATGGAACCCAGCTAAATCTACGCAAACACGTGACGTCACTGGTGTTACACGTCACAATTGTCACTATGTGCCATGACGTCACAATCACGACAAAGCTGTCTACCCGTATGGTACTAACTTGTCACGCTCTTCGAGTTTTCCGTCGTTTTGAACACCAAGATGCCTCCTAACTGGATTCTACCGGCTGGTACGAGGTAAGATTGTCTTGATTTTACGGGGGGCAGTATGGGCCAGTGGTTTAAGTTTTCGCTCGTCAAACCGAAGACCCCCTCTGAGTCCCCACATGGGTACAACATGTGAAGCATATTGTAGGTGCACACATTATCAAATCGTTACATGGCTGAAAACAGACGCCGAAACTCTTCAAAGGTACTATGATATCCATATCGAATACATCATCCCCTAATAATCACTTTGGTTTGTTTCATTTTTAGTCATCTTCAAACATGGGTGTATACTTTCTTTTGCCCGACATTTAGCTTATCACAATAAAATTATTTTCATGGTGATATCTTTATTCAAAGCGACTTTATGGTTACAAGATGACTTTATGCCATATGTCATCCCTCTTTTTATTAAACCCGCTCTGTTTCAGTACTACGACACTCTCGTCAGCTGACGTCACCTCCGACGTTTCTTTTCGTGGTGAGTATATTACACAGCAACCGACAACTGATGTTCATTTATGAATATTTGATGTATCTGAATTCTATGTTGGATGTCATTTCATATATATAATACCTCATCATTATGTAAACGTATTAAATAACTTATGGG